ATGTCTATATGAGGGTTTACCTTCCAATAGAGAAAGGGTTTCATAAATTTCATTGTTGGGCTCTTCTACCTGTTTACAGTCTCCCTTTGATACCTAGGGCAGTGTGTGATTGATTGCTACCTCTTTTGCCCATGAAGGAGTTTGCATATCATCTGAGGATCCTTTGTATCATTATTGGAGGTAGAAACCTCTCTCCATATAACACCTTCTGGAGACTATTAATGTAACCTTTTGAGCAGATGTATATTCTGGGGGTAGTTTGATTTGATGAGCTCTTGTAGAGGCACTACTGAATAAACAGAGTGGTGTTTTACATAATACATGAAGCTCTTTTCATGCATGAAGAGTTCTCAGTTTGCATAACCTACTTGTAATGTGTCACACCTGTCAGCTACAAAAGTATAAAGAACTTCTACAAATCAATCCACAAATCAATCTGCAGGATCAGATCCTGCAGGCAGACAGCAACATAGCTAGTTCTAAACCTGATAGTTGTTTGAAGGGTCACATTAAGATCATCTAACAAGATCGCTTGATATTTGTCCAGCCTCCTGGCAGTTCAGCAAGTTTAAGACCTGATGTGGCAATGGTAGTAGGTCATCCCAAGGGTAAACTTTTCAGCTTCCTTCACATCACAAGTGGCTACTGGGCTGGAGGCATGGCTCAAATGGTAGAGCACCAGCAATGAGCAAAAAAAGCCAAGCAAGAACTCAAAGGCCTAAGCTACTGTCCAGAAAGGAGCAGGCCACCCATTGGCCATATAGTCCAATTGCTTCGAAGAAATGCAGGTTGGGAAACTACCCAGCAACTGAAAAGAACAAGGTTGAGCATGGGCAAACCTCCATCAGTCCTTGAGAGTTTTAAGAGCAGTTTAACATTTGTTAACCAAATTAAAGGCTCAAGATCTATCCCAATTAAAGCTAAGGGCTTCACTACTATAAGCTCCAAATAAGTATCTGTATTCTGTAGTAGCCTGTCAGTCCCAGGAACCTTCTGAACTTCATTCAGGTCTTGGGGACCTAAATACTGTCCTCACTAACCTTGATATAATTGGAACCACAGGTAAACAAGTTGTTCTTTGCAAATTTTGCTTCAGAAAAAGACATTTTATACCAGCATTTGGCAAAGTGATTCTGAATCTGGATGGTGTTTCTTAGGCGAGGCTCTTGATGAGCAAATCATCTACATACTGCAGTGGAGTTCCCCAATTCAAATAATAACATTTAAAACTCTTGTAGTTAATATATCCTCAAAGCTCACTGGTGAGATTTTTAATCCAAGTGGCAGCACTACCAAACAGTATTAAAGAATAGTCGATGAGAGTCTGTCCATTTAAAGGCAAAAGGTATTCACAGCTGACTTACATGTAGAATGGAAAAGCAAGTGAACCATTTACCCTCTGCCAATAAGAAATTTAGAAGAATGTAAGTGTTAGGTACTATAGGGTAAATATCCTGAACAATTTTATTAATGGCTTATAGATAATGAATAAAATACTAGTCCTCAGATTGTTTTTTGTTGTTGTTGTTGTTTTTTGTCACTTGTGGGGCTTGTTTAAACTCAGGACTAGTGCTTTTCCCTTAAGCCACAGCTCTACATGGACTTTACTGCCTGGTCTGGCTTTAATCCATGATCCTCAGATCTCCACCTCCTGAGTAGCTGACATGATACAAGTATAATAATGTGAGTGGAACAGCATACAAATCAATTCACTAATCTAAGGTCAATTTGTTATAGAGGAAAAATAAAATTAAGCATAAATTTAATGTTAGCCAAGTTTTCACATCATTGATGGTAATGTGCTATAATGTCCTATACCTTCACATTTACTTATTGCTCACTCATTCAGGGAGTTCTCAAAGGTTTTTGTATCAATTATAATATCCATTCAAAATAATTTTTCTTGAGTTATTATCTATAATGCGTGGCTGAAGTAAATAGCCAGCAGCCTAGCCTCATAGACTACCTCAGTAGTGTTGTTTACTTTCTTGTCCATTTGGGTCACAATTGATAAACTCTATTAGAAAGTAATATCAAATGTGGCTTTTACTTACAATGTAGTTGGAACTAAAGCTTATCATGTTGGGTTGGGTATTAAATACTGTATTTTTAAAAATGAGTGGTAGGGCTAGATCAGATTTCACTTTAGAATTTGGAGGAGTTATGGATTGGATTCCCTCAAGTGCCTACTGTTTTGGTTTTTATTTTATTTTAAGCCTTTAAGTGGTGGAATTAGAGTATCTTTAACAGAAACAAGATGACAGTAGAAGGCATGACACTTTGGTGGCTTTTCCTGGGTTAACATCAGCTGAAGATGGAGTGCCTATTCAGGTGCACATACACCTGTATTTACTGCTTCTCTGGGAGGAAGGTCACTTAATAATTGAGCTCACAGAGCAAGTTTGAGCTCATAGTGGAACTAGACACTAGCACATACAGAAAGCTGTGAATCAGAATACTAGGTCACCTTAGTGGCTGTAGGAAAATCTGCTTTTGGGGCTTTCCCAATACTCCAGTAATAGGTAGAATCCAATTAGTCCTTTTTGCTAAAGGAGTCATTAAATAATATAGCTTCATTATTGATTAGGAACCTATGGTCTTGTACTACACTGTCAGTTGTGCCCTAATCTTCTGTGAGGAAATAATGTTTGGAGCCTAAAGATTTGTCAGAGGACTTCTTAGTCCCCATCAAAATCACCATTGATTCCTGTCATCAGAAACTTCTCAGAAATGGTGCTGTGAGCTCAAAGTAGTTCAGCACTAGCCTTGAGCTGAAATACTCAAGGACAGTGCCCAGGCCCAGAGTTCAAGCCCCATGACCAACCAAAAAAAAAAAAAAAACTTCTCAAATCTGTCTTTTTTTTCTTTTTTTGGTCCACCATGGGGCTTGAACTCTGGACCTGAACGCTGTCCCTTAGCTCTTCAGCTCAAAGTTAGCTTGCTACCATTTGAGCTACAGTGCCACTTCCAGTTTTCTGGTAGTTTATTGGAGATAAGAGTTTCACAGGCTTTCCTGCCCGGGATGGCTTTGAACCGAGATCCTCAGATCTCAGCCTCTTGAGCAGCTAGTATTACAGGTGTAAGCCACCAGCACCTAGCTGTCTTTTTTTTTTTTTTTTTTTAGAGTTTGGAATTGGTTGTCTTTTAATACTCATCAAAGTATGCATATCAGTTTTCCCCTAAGAACTTTTTTTCCTTTTTAAGTAGGACTTTCAGTTCTAGATTTCTAATTCTGGGTGATTCAACAAAAGCCGTGGTTTATTAAGCCATCTCATTATAGACTTTGTGGGCTATGTTAATTAAGAAGCGTTCATGCCCACAGTCCTGTAGTTTTCACTTAGTATTGCCCAATGAAGGTCATATTGATAGTTCATATATTTTCAGAGGCTTCTAGAACAAACCTAGTATTTGTCTGTAGGTTTGGTATATTTTTTCTAACCAGACTTCAGGGGCTATTTGTCCTCTGATGTAATTTTTGTTTGGGTTTTTATTTTGGGTCCGGTCATGGGCCTGAACTCTGAGTCTTGGCGCTGCCCCTCAGCTCTTCAGCTCAAGGCTAGCGCTCTACCACTTGAGCCACAGCACCACTTTGGGATTGTTTTTTTGCTTATGGGTGCTGAGGAATCGAACCCAGGGCCTCAAGCACGCAAGGCAAGCGCTTTACCACTGAGCCAACTTCCCAGCCTCTGATGTAATTTTTAAACATCTGTCTTAGATACCTTCTGTTGAACCTTTGCATGACACTTAGGATAATGATATACTTGGAGTATGTTATCATCTGAATTTGGATTCTAATTTAGCAACCTTGTCAGTATTGAATTTTTTGGATCTGGAGTGTTTTGGTGTCAGCCTGGTGAAGGATCTGAAATTTCTCATTAACCTCATTTAAGATGTCTTTTTTTTTTTCTGAAGGCAGTGTTATATTGAACCCTGTTTATACATTAGCCCACGTAGGGTTATGGTTGACAATTACGGTTGGTAATTAGTTCAACCATCCATTGAGATCATCACAGATGGAAGGTTAGAACTTTTTCAATTAAACAGGTTAGAGTAAAAAATGATGTGAATCTAGTACTTGTCCTTGGACATTTAATACTCCTGGTGGTTACTGTGCCTGGGAATTTCACTGCCCTGCTCAGGTGGACATCTTGGCCAAATTAGATGCTCTGGTGGGTCTTAAAAGACTGTTCCAGAACCAGGTGCCCATGGCTTATGCTGTGATCCTAGTTGTGCAAGAGGCTAAGTGATAAGGATCATAGTTAAAAAGATAGACTGCTTCAGGCTCATCAACACATTTTTAAGAAGACAACCTTCCTCCTACAATGTTGAAGCCACAACCTGGGGCAAGACATTTCTTTGAGAAACAAGTTTAAGTAATACTGTTTTGTATTTGTTCAACTATGTTTGGATGATCTTTTCATTTCTCACCAACATTCTATCAGTTTCAATAACAATTTATCTTTATTGTTCTACTTGCTCATAATATAGCTGTAAAGGCCTTTCAGGCTCTTTCCTGTGATTCATAATACTCCACTTACTCAAGAAACATCGCAGGTCCTTTAGTGTTTTGCTATTTGTCTTTGTGTGAGTGTCCAAATCCACTCTTGAGTAGAAAGAGCACTCTATGCAGTTCATCACTTAGCTCCTCCCAGGCCTCCTTAGGTAGCATCAAAATTATGTATAGGTGTCAAGTGAAAATATCATTCTGGAGAGGCATCAGGCTAAGGTTAGAGGAGCATCTTTTTTTTTTTTTTTCCAAGCCCTGGGAAAATACCCAATAATATCCTTGTGTCTTCCTGTTTTATAACACCATGGTCTCTGTTCTGCTGAAACAGAATTCTCTCTGGCACATACATGGTCCATGTTCACATCATTCACAGTTTCCTCCAATTGCATCTCAACAAACAATTTGACTCTTGAGAACCAGTAGGCTTGTTTATCCTGGAGATGGTTGTGTCATTGCTTACAGATAATTACAACAGGGTCTCTTGACTTTTCAGATGGCAAACCACAGGATTTCTTCTGACTCTGTTGCATCTGCCAGTAGTTGCTTGAGCTTGGAGTCTACTCTTTGCACTGAGCAAATAGTGCCCATGTTCAACAAAGGCATCCAAGCAGGTAAATCAACTTTTCTATTAAAATAAAAAGGGTTCTTAAACATAGATTCACCTCTCACATATTAAAGGAAATAAAATCAGGTGCTGATGTTTCATGCCTATAATCCTGGTTACTCAGGAGATGGAGTCTGAGTATCATGGTTAAAAGCCAGCGAGGGCAGAAAAGTCCATGAAACTCTTTTATCTCCAGTTCTCAAAAAAAGCCAAAGTGGCGCTGTGGCTCAAGTGGTAGAGTGCTAGCCTTGAGCAAAAGAAGCTCAGGGACAATGCCCAGGCTCAGAGTTCAAGCCCCAGGACCAGCAAAATAAATAATAAATAGATAAATAAGTATGAAATCAACATCAAAACTATAGACATCTAGGCGTTACTTTTCATTTATAAATTGACAAAAATCCAAGTATTATAAGCTAGAAATTATCTAGTTGTTATGCTCCTCCTGGTAAGGGTATAACTTGGTAAAATCTCTGCGAGAGTAATTTGGCAGTTTCTAGCAAAATTATTTTAACCCATCATTTTTGCTGTGGCAGTTTAGCCTGGAGATATGTATACTTGGATATTTGCAAAATGTCAAGTATGAATATTGAAATAATACCTCAGATAGAAGAAAATTAAAACTGGTACTCATCAGTAGCTGAATGGTTAAATCAGTTCTTATACTTGCGTATAATGAAATCTTGTGTAGAATTAGCAAGCTCTCTCTGTCCTAATACAGAAAGATCTCCAAGGTATATAACTGGGAAAAAAAAAAGCCTCAAGGGATATAATAGTGTACAGTATATTACTACATGGGGAAGTGGCTCTGTGGCTCAAGAGGTAGAGCACTTGCCTTGAGCTGAAGAACTGAGGGACAGTGCCCAGGTCCAGAGTTCAAGCCCCATGACAAACAAAATTTTTTTTTTAAATAAAGGATTATTATTACTACATGCAGTTTTTTTTTTCTTTTTTGGGTTGGTTAACTGATTTTGAGGCTGGTCCTGAGGCTTGTACTTAGGGCCTGGGCAATGTCTCTGAGGTTTTTTGCTCAAAGATATCACTCCTACACTTGAGCCACAGATCTTTGGTGGTTATTTGGAGATAAAGAGTCTCACAGACTTTTCTGCCTGGGCTGGCTTTAAACTGAGATTCTAAGATCCAGCCTCCTTAGTAGGTAGGCATAAGCTACCAGTGCCCAGACTCTACTGTACACACACACACACACACACAAACAATTTTTTTCTAAATGAAGGAATCAGGAGAATTTCTTGAACCTATAAAAACAATTTTCTGGAATGATAGGATTCATGGAGTGAATAAAACACAAGGGTGGAAGGAGGGTTTTCAGTTTTTACCTTTCTGTACCTTTTGACTTTATAAAGTAACAATAAGTAAAGATCTTGTTTTTCTTCCTTTTAGTTGTCTGTATCTGTAGTTGTCATTATCAACATCTTCCATACCTTGGTAATTGCCATTAAGGATCTCCCAAGTGCTTACTGTCTTTCTCACTTGAGATCAGAACCAAATCATTTACATATGAATGCATATTTAGTCTTTGTCTCTAATATGTAAACTTAGAAACAAAAACCTTCTTTCTCCCTCTCTTCTTCCTCCTCTCTGTCTCTAATTTCTTAACCGTGCTTCCCTTTTTCTTCTTGTTCCCTTACTCACTAAAAAGGCAACATTTCTTTGAATCATTTTGCAGGGTTTACCTGTTGACTTAAAGTAAAACCATCATCACCTAAACCCCATAGATGTTTCCAGAGACATCTGGTTTTTCTTTCAGGTAACTTGGAGATTTTGGATGGTGTCAAAAAACATACTCGTGATGTTGGAGTGACTTTCCCAACTCCATGTTCTAGTGAAGCCAGATTAGAAGAGGAGAGTGATAAGACTTCTGTGTCAGAAGAAATAATCAAAGAGAAAACACTCTTTGCCAGTCCTCTTGAAGACAAAAAGTTAAAGAGTAAGCAGAATTCCTATGAAGGTCAGTGCATTTTCTCTTTCTTTCGTAATTTTTATTTTGAAAGTTGATTTCCCATTCCAGTTAGCTTATAATCATTGTGGCAGAAAAAGTAGTGAGTGAGGTCTCTTACAATGCTGAGAGTCTTTGTTTTTGGATTGACTGTATTGGCTCTTCCAACCCCCATCCACTTTTTGGACAAATTTTGAAAATATCTAGAACAATATTTGCAGAGTGTTGCAGTTAATACTCAAGGGCACCCTCGGGGTACCTGACAGCTGAGCCCCTAAAAGTCTATTATATACTTGTCTTTGATGGTAGTTGGGTGGGTTTAAAAAAACATCTCTCTTCTTCTTAAAAATATTTCCTGTAGGAGTTTCCTGGTTTGTTCCTGTGGAAAATGTGAAGCCTGCAACTAAGAAAGAAAACTGTCCTAAGAGTTATGGTCCTGGTATCTCCTGGTTTGAGCCAATATCCAGAACCAAACCTTGGAGAGAGCCACTGCGAGAACAGAACTGGCAGAAGCAGTGCAAGGTTGGTTGGGGATTACAGCCAGGCCCAGGAGGAGATGTTGGCCAAGAGCAACTGACGCCATTCGTGAGGACAACTCTACAGGTATTTTTAAGAGTGGAAAAGGACAAGTCACAGATGAGTTAGGTGTGTGACTGGCATTCTGGGGTTTAGTTACATGACCTTGTTAGCAGCTACGCAGTTCATCTCTTTCACTGTGTAAGGACTTGGTTTCTCATTAGTCAACATCTGTAGTATTCATAATGCTCTAAATAGTTTATCTCCCCTGAGATGTGGAGACAAGCCAATAGAAGGGAAGTGATTATGGCACTACTTGTCAAATGCCTAAATACCAACCTGTGGAGTTCATAGAGGCCTGGTGTATGCCAACATTGTATTTGTTTCTGTACTTAGGTAGTCTGTTTCTATTTTATACAAGACTCAAAAGGCACCTGGCTGGGGCTGGGAAGGTGGCTCAGTGGTAGAGCGCTTGCTTTGCATGCATGAGGCCCTGGGTTCGATTCCTCAGCACCACATAAGCAAAAGGAAAAAAAAAAATTTAAAAAAAAATCAAAAGGCACCTGGTAATTGTGTTGTGTTCTTTCTCTCTTCTCTCTCTCTTTTCTTTCTTTGCCTCTGTCTCTGGCAGTCTGTCTCTTACTCTATTTCCAGTATTGATCACTAAACCCAGGGCCTTGCACATACTAGGCAAGCACTGTCCCTCTGAATGACACTCAGCCCTCAACAAGTGTCTTCTTTGAGGGCTAAAATAAATGTTATTTAATGATAGGTGTGTTTGAAGAGGATATTAAAAAGGATAAGGTACATTTGAGAAAGTTGTAACTGCCCCAGTTTTAGTTCTGAGCTTAAACCAAAAACACTTCTTTGAGCTCTTTGATTTCCCTTCTAGAGCTCTCCCAGTTTTGCGTGATCAGAGAATCGTTCTATTCTAGATTTTTTTCTGTGATTTAGAAAGAGGATCTCCAAACCTGCTAGGCAAGGGCTGTTTTTCTGGGCACTTAAGAGATCAGACTCCATCATTCATATGAGCTTGGGCCTTCTCTCCTTAGGAATCACTTCAGCTTCACAGACCTGACTTCATCTCTCGCTCTGGAGAGCGAGTTAAGCGCCTCAAGTTAATAGTCCAGGAAAGGAAGCTACAGAATGTGTTTCAGAGTGAGCGGAATGCGCTGTTCAATGCCATGCACCCCCTGCCTAAGAGAGGTACCTGCTCTTGTCATTTTCCTACGAGTGATAGAGAAGGCTGGGCTGCTGCTCTGCTGGAAAGTGCTGCTGAGTGTGAGGCCACATAGGAGGGCTGAATGTGCCTTTTGCTTGCTGAGACTCAAATCTCTGTGGTAGCAGACCACCACAACCTAGTTCTCAACACTTCTGTGTTCCAAGTATGCCAGTTACTCTGACCAATCACTGCATTTACAAAGGAGAACATGTGTAAGAAGAGTTTTTTTTTTAATACACTAGCTGTGGCTCACGAACAATTTGATTCCAAAAAATATGATTCCTTTGAAGAAGGACCCAATTCTGGCTGCCTACCTCATATGATGGTAGTAACAACAACAATAGGAAACCAGTAGTAATCCTTCCTCCTTCTCTGGTGGTCTCATAGCATATCTTGTGGTAGGTACAATAAATATCTAAGATAGTTACCTAAGATCTCAAGCAATGAAACATGAAAGCTGTGAAAACTGTGAAGTACTACCTAATGCTGTCATCACAACCTATAAACTGGTTGTTCTTAGAGTTCCCACTCTTTAGTCTGTGCCACAAGGACCACAGGCTGCTCTCACAGTTGCCCTATCCAGTCCTGCTTTGGCCTTGGCCACAGTCAGTGTTCAATATCTGATATGGCTAGCTCAGGTTAGGCGGTCAAAGGCTAGCAGCTTCTTCTTGTAGCTCTAGACTATCACTAACCTTTCCTGATTAAATCAATAAATATCACTTCTTTCTTAGTTCTTAGGATGGTCCAGAAGAACAAACCTATTGGGAGGAAGGAAATGATTCAGAGGTCTAAACGGTAAGGAAAAAAAACAACAGGTAATTATGGAAATGTATATCAAGCCACTAGATGGTCAAGAACTCTACCTTACCCTCACTTATGGCTCTCAGTATAAAAGGAATAGTGAAATAGAAAGCAGATAAGGTATAAATGATTCATATATAAAACAAAAAATGGGCTCTATGGATGTCCATGCCTTTGTAACTAAAGAATATTTAGAAAATAATTTGTCTATTTGAGGCTAACCCTTTTTTCTTAGCAATACTATTTCTAGCAGTCTATCTAATAAAGTGAAAAAGAAGCATTCTCTCCAGCACATTTAGTTAGGCTTTCAAAATCAAGTTACAAAAGCATGCATAGACAGGTGCTATTTGGGGGCCTCTAAAAAGAAGTATTTGTGCTTATGTAAATGTACTTTGTATATGTGTATATGTGTATATATTATACAATACCTCTATAAGACACACACACACACACACACACACACACACAAACAAACTTGGTAATAGTGGATCCCTTTGGGGGAAAAAAATTTATGGCTAGGTTACAGAGGCCAGGGATAGGAAATACACAAATATTTACCTTTTTATACCATTTGAGTCTGTGCCATTGTAAACATTACCTTCATTTATTTAATTTGGTCTGTTCATCATGAGGATGCCATGGGAAGTTAAGGGATAATTGTAGGGATTCACTGGAAGCTTGCTTGCTTCAATAGTTGTTTTATAGTTGGAGTAGTGCTTCTGAAATAGTGGCTCTGGAAAGCAGTCCATCTCATGTAACTGAAGCAGTCCTCTGGAGATCTGGTATTTTTACTCTCCATTTCATAAACCTTTGAAAGTCATGCCCAAGGGATGCTTGAATTCACTGGCTCTCAGAGTGGTCCATGGGTCTTTGAGAGTTGCTGAGGCCCTTTCAGGGCATGTGCAAGATCAAAGCTACTTTCAAACCACTAAGGCCACTGTGTGCCTTTTTCTCTTGTTGTACTTATGGAGGCAAAAATCAATGGAGAGGAAGTTAGGACTTCAGAACCACTGTTGAAGACAGACAGCAGCACCAATCTGGCACCAAAATGTCAGCAATGCCATGCAGCACACAAAGCACTTGTAGTCTACCCTGAAATCTGGTAATCTGACTTAGGAATATGACAGACATTCTCCTGACAAGGAAGAATGAGTGCCTCACTTCAGCTGAAGAAACAGCTGACAGTATTAGCTGCCAATGAAAACAAGTGAGCTTAAGAATACAATTCTGGAACACTTCTATCTACCTAGATAAGCTTGAAAAGTGTCCAGTGCTTAGACTTTTCACTGGATCAGCAGTAATATTAACAAATGTGACCATTTTTATCACTTTTAAGTAAATTTGTCAACACTGGAAAATCTGAAGAACACACTTGCCAAAACATTCCACATAAAACTACCACTTCTTGGGTTTTAAGAAGATTGAGCTGGGTGTGGTAGAATATATCTATAATGTCAGCACTGGAGAGGCTGAGGCCGCAGGAATGTGAGTTCCAGGCCAGCCTGGGTTACAAAACAAGACTGTGCCTCAAAGAATCCAAAGCAGAAAGGATTGATTACCTGGAAAGAACATTAAGCTATTTATTTGTCTAGGTTCTGGTTACATATGTGTGGAGTCTGATTCTTTAAATGTGTACTTTAACTAGAATGACGTGACAACAGACAATTCAGAGGGAAACAGGAAGTCCAGCTGACTTCCTTTAAACCACAGAGAGATTTGTTTTAAAAAAAAAAGGGGGGGGGGGTAAAACACTGTACCAGCCTACAGTTTTTTGTTACTGTGGTGGTGGTGGTTTTGGAAAATACCTTTATTTTTAGACATGTAATAGGCTTATTATGTTTCAGCTTACTGTTATTTTTAAGTGGGTTAAGAAATAAGTAATTTTTAAGGCTAGGGCATGGCTCAAGTGGTAGAACATTTTGCCCCCCAAATTTTTTTAAACCCACTATTTTCCCAGAAGTGAGTACTGATAAGGCTTTGGTATATTTTTGTTTACCTGTTTATTCTAGATCATGAGCACCCCACCCTAGATATCAACTTTCCAATGGGATGATGGGTTACATAGTAGTGCTGGACATGCACAAGGGAGTAAATGCCTTGGAGTGGTTGAATTTAGGGATGTTTTGTAAGATGCAATCACATACCTCTGTACTTGCTAATCTCATTGCTTTCTGTCTTCCACCGGTGCCATTCTCTAAGGATTTATGAGCAGCTTCCAGAAGTACAGAAAAAGAGAGAAGAAGAGAAGAGGAAATCAGAATATAAGTCCAACCGGCTGCGAGCTCAGCTCTTCAGAAAGGTTAGTTGAGTTGTCATTCTGCTCAGAGTGGGATAGCCAGGTTTATTAAGAGAGAAATAAGGGAAGCACCTCTCAATGCCTGAGAAGTGGAGTGAGTTCAAAAAGCACTGTTGTAGTGCTAGTATTTCAGACACAATGCACCTGTGATCAGTTTCAGCTCCTTAACCTTAATTGCAATGAAACCAAATGTTGCACATAGGAGGTGATATTATCTAATGGTGGAATGAACAAGAGTCTTGCTCAAATGGATTCCCTGGGATGAAGACTGGACACTGGGCTTGGAGCACCATGCCTTTACTGTTCCTGTTTCCTCCCAGCCTCCTCACTATACCTCTAGGACTCTCAAAGTCAATTACCAAAAGACTGGATCCCAGATCCTCCCACCCTGACTTAGAGGACTGTCTCTGGAGTGCCCTGAGCCCACACTGGGGAAGGCAGAGGGCTCTGTGTGGCCTTGCTACTGTGTTAGCATCACAGAACTGATCCCTTTGCTGTGCTTGTGTGTTATAAACTTACGGTGTGCTCAGTCTGTCATGATTAGAGATTGTCTATATCTGTTAGAATTAAAAATATTGCTTGTAGATTATCTTTTCTAAACACTTCAGGAAGAATTCTTTAATTGTCATAGTTTCATAGTTGAGTAACATAAACAAGAAACAACTTGTGGCGAGAACCATCTAGGTCTCTTCAACAACAAAGCTGGGGTCAGGAGTGCCACCTGCCTTTGAGGGCACACTTACTTCTTTTTTGCCTTTTTTTTCCTTCACAGAAATTGACCAGTCAACTCCTGGGAAGAAAAGTTCCGTGGGATTAATGTAAGATTATTTTCTCAGAGTCTTGGAGTTATTTTTTTATGAACCCGGAGAAACATAGTCCTTATTTTTATGGATCTGGTTTAATAAAGCTTATTCTTTGTGTTCTGTGTGCTTATGTAATTTAGTCATTTCTGGGATGTGGGGCAGTGTGTCAAGTAGAGTGACAGATGGTTTAAAAGAAGTTCTTTCTCCATAGAGGCTTTTGCCACAGTGTTGTAAATCCCAATGGTATTATGTCTTAATTGTACTCAAGAATGAGCCCCTCTTTTTATGTGTTTTAGTTTAGAAAATAAATCACTTCTGATTGACTCACAGTAAACCAAACAACAAGAAGAGTAAATGTATAGGTAAGATGTAATAATGTTATTTAAGACAGTGAAAAGACAATGTGGGAAATGGGAGAGAATAACTGTAGCTCATGTAAACCACAAAGGGTTTTCATTCAGAATATATAATGAACTTGTATGAATCAATTTCTTTAAAAGGCATAGGAAAATGGGCCATTCATTGGAAAATGGGCTAAGTAATAATAGAAGAACAAACACATCTGCCCAATCAACACAAAACATCGCTTCACTTTAATGAAGGAAATGCACATTATAAACAATAAAAATACCTTTTGATGCTTAATAGTTTAGTGAATATTTTTAATTCTTTCCAAGTGTTGGCAAAAATATGGATCAAAATGCATTCACATATTGCCTTTAAGTGTGCACTCTGGCAAAAATGCCCACCACCAGTCCATCCAAGAAGATTAACAGCAACAGCTTCCTAACAGTAAACAACTGGAAACAACTCTGATGCCCTTTCACAAGAGAATGGGTAAGCAACTGGCATGTTCACACAAAATAATTCTAGACAGAGGGGAAAATTAATAAACAACTGCCAATTCATTTTGATGAATCTTAGGAATAACTGAGTAGAAAACTACAGAATACATTGTACAATACTGTCATTATTCATGTTCTAAAACAGGAAGACTGAGGTTGAAGGGACTGTTAGTGTGATGCTAAATAAAGTTCAAAAACAAGCCAGAATAAAGGTGTTCAGTGACATGTGGACCCTGGTGGTTTTGAAATACATAAGCAGATAGACCGACAGAAACATACATAGATGATAGACTGATTAAATTGAGAAAAAATTTCGCTTTTCAGAGAGATGGGCTTGGGAAAGAGACACAACTTTAAAAGTCTTGTCTACAGTAAAGAGACCTTTATTCATCGATCAGGTGGTATGATCATTTAATTTATGTAATGTATTTTATATAATATATAATATGTTTGTATATAACATACACATTTTAGTGTATCAGATGTTTTCTAATGGTTTATTAGATTGTTAAACAGGTTCATAAGTAAATATCTTTAGCACTTACAAAATAAAGCTTCTATAAACATTAGGGCCCATATTTATCTGCCAACCCTCATGCACAGGTACTGGAGGACATACTAGGCTGAGGCTAGCAGCAACAGGGACATGTGCAGAAGTAGCAATAGAATAAAGCTTTAGAGTTTTGTATGGATTGTGGAGAAAGGTGGGAAAAAAGACTCAGAGAACCCAAATTGTATCAGGAACCAATGCAGGCAATCCTCAAAGCTGAGCTGTGGCTCAAGTGGTAGAGTGCTAACCATGAGCAAAAAACATTCAGGGACAGCACCTTAGCCTTTCAAGTATCAGGACTGGTACACACACATAAAAATGCCAACCTGGGCCAGTTGGTGAAATCCTGTATAAATTAAATAAATCTATCACTTAAGAGTGCAAATAAACATTATAAACCAAGAGGATACTAGCAGTTTCCTTGCTTGTTTTGTGGGGTGGGGATGGGAAGCAGGATACCACCATGTATAGATCTTGTCCTCCTGTTCATCATTTTATTGGCTTGCACCAAGCAGGCATTAGCTGTAGCTTTTTTGAGACAGGGTCTCTGTCTCAAGCCCAAACTGGCTTCAGATTGACAATTCTGCCAGCCTTTCAATGCTGGGATCACAGGTATGTAACACCATGAGATACAAGGTTTTTTAAGGATGGTAGTTGACAAGGATGGGAAAGAAAGAAACACAAAGGACAAATACTGTGCCATTCCATTTATATGCAGAGTCATGAAGCAGAAAGTATCAGGAAATCAGAAGCCTTACATATTAAGTGATACCATTCAGAGGTATTACAACAGTGAGAAAAAAAATCAAATGATCTAAAGGGAAAGGACAGAATTTGAAAATGAGAAAGTTATTGCTGAGGGCATGGATCAAGTGGTAGATCACCTGCCTAGTAAGCATATCCTAAGTTTAAGCCCTAATACCACTAAGGGAAAGAGAAAGGAGGGAGAAGGAAAAGGTAGGGTGAAGGGAGGGAAAGAATGAGGAAAGAAAGAACACGTGAACATGACAGGGTAATGGAGGAGAAGGGTAGCTGCTATGCCTTGACATGACGTCAGTAGTAAATAAAAGGTGGTGTACACATATTGTAGAATAAATCTGACCTTTAAAAATGAAGAAAACTCTGATAGAAGCTACCACAAAATGAATCAGAAAAATGAAAGAAGCAAGACCCAAAAGACCCAGTCATATTTCCACTTACATGAGATATCGACTAGGCAAGCAGAACCAAGGATACCAGGGCAGATGATGGAGAAGACAAGAAGTTCCTCCTAGCGGGCACAGCTCCTGTTTAAAACACAGTGATGGCAGTTACACAACATTGCAAAGGTAATGAGCACACTGATTGTACACTTTTAAATGGCCCATTGTATTTTCACAATATGGGTGGCAGGTTGGGGAAGGCTGAAGTAGCTTGGGCTGGCAGACCCTTCCTGCACACACCCACAACCTCCAGCATGCACACAGGGGGGCTGGGCAGATACATAGGCCAGAGAAGAAAAATCAAAAACAAAAAATGAAGGCTACTTGGAATACCAGTACACTAGTAACACAAGAAGGAATCTTAGTGTCTGTTATTAGCACTTTCAAAGCAAAATCTTTCCCTTCAAATTGAAAAAAAAAATGGTGTTAACAGAATAAAAAAATCTGGAATCAGCTTCCTAGATTTTCTACCTATTGATTGTCAAATGATTTGTACATGGCCCCACCGCTCCCTAATTTCTGGAAAACCATCAATGTTCCATTCATTTGCACAAATGAGTTCCTACAAATCTGCTTTTGTCCACTCCCTGAAGCCTGTGTAATTCAAGGGCTGCCATGTCCCACTGCCCACAATCCTACCTCAGGCAAAAGCAATCTCTGCCTCCCTCAGTATCTTTCCCTTCTCATGGCTCCCAGCTAGCAACAGCCTGCCTGCTTGGCCCAAGTTCAGATCCCTTAGGGACACAATGGTCTTTAGGTTCCAATGGCAACTGTCTACTATCACTAGTTTTCTTCCATGATAGAATATGGTGTCAGGCTGGCCAAAGGAATGCCTTTAAAGTCTCGGTAGCCAGTGGACTTGGGGTTCAGCATGGCCTCTCCCACTTTCCTGGTGGCTTGGTGAAAGCAGATGGTATAGCTTCAACTCCCCATAAAACTTAACAGCTTTGCTCTCCCTGGCCGCCTTTACCCAACTTAGATTTTACCCCCATTTTTTTATATTTCATTATTGTAGAGGTGACATACAGAGGGGTTTCAGTTACGTGAGTCAAGTAATGAGTACAATTGTCTTGAACCATGTATTTCTTTCCTTCATTATCTCCATTTTCCCCTCTCCCTACCCACAAGATGTATAGTTCATTTTTATATAGTGTATAGTGAGTACCACTGTTGTATTTTTTCACCCTTTGTTTCAGCTTTTCTTTGCCCCCATTACCTTCCCAAAGTCAAACAAGACAAAAGGAAAAGACAAAAACAGCAACTTAAAAAAATCTCATTTCCTTTTCTTGGAGTTCATTTTGTAAACTATTTTGTACGGTCATGTGCACATAGCTGATCTGTTCCTATGCATATCTTCCTTTGGTCTCAATCTGTGAATGTCTAGAGACCTGTACAATTTATCCTGCCCCAGTGTATGGATATATGTGTGTATATATATGTACACATATACATTTAAATTTTTCAGTGCGTTTACTTGTAGATTTATAGGCATATCCTAATTACCACAAATGTGGGAAACATGCAAGCTGTGTTTCTTTGGATATGGCTTAAGTGTATCTAAACTCTTCTTTCTAAAATTACTTAGAGAAGCACTCACCTTGAGCTGAAAAGCTGAGGGATAGCTCCCAAGCCCAGAGTTCAAGCCCCATGACAGACAAAAAAAAACAACAAAAAACCCTAAACGCCAAATGAATTAACAACTTAATGAATGGGCAAATGAACTGAACAGTCAAAAGAAGTACACATATCCAGTAAATATATAATGAAATGTTCAATATCCTTGATCCTAAAGGAAATACAAATCAAAACAATAAGGAGATTTTATCTTACTCTAGTCAGAGTGGCCATCATTAACACAAACAACAAATGTTGGTGAGGATGTGAAGAATTCCTCATGGGCTGGGGGCCCCATGGCTCATGCTTTTAATCCTAGCTATTAGGAGGCTGAGATCTGAGGATTATAGACAAGAAAGTCTGAGACTTTTATCTCCAATTAATTACCCAAAAAGCTGAAAGTGGAGCTGTGGCTCAAGTGGTAGAGTGCTAGTTTTGAGCAAAATAGCTCAGGGATAGCATCCAAGCAAGCCCTGAACTCAAGCCCCAGGACTGGCAAAAAAAAAAAAAATCCATATATACTGTTGGTGGAGATGTAAACTATTACAAACATTGTGGAAATTAGTATGAAGTTTTCTCAAAAAGTAAAAAAAAACTACAATACCACTCTTGGACACTGATTAGAATGTAAGGCAGAATATAAGAGAGGCATTTGAACATACATGTTCATTGCAGCACTATTCACAATTGCCAAACTATGAAAATAGCCCAGATGCCCTATACAACTGATGAATATAAAAAATATGGTATATATATATATTATGGAATGTTACACAGCCATAAAGAAACTATCATTTGCAGGGAAATTGATGGAGCTGAAGATTACCATCATATAAGTAAAGTAAGCTAGGTTAGGAAGCACAAAAGTAACAGTGGATGTTAGGTTAACAAACATACATGTAAACATAT